AGGATGAAGGAACATGTTTAACTTAGAAAGCAGTATTGTTTTGTTAAATTATTCCATTTTGTATGAACTGTAGCAGGACTACACAGGAGAGCTTAAGTTATGGCATTATTATTGTTGTTTTATTTTATGGTGTCATGATTTTCTGTTGACCAGAAGGTGTGGCTTGTGATGTAGCACAATGACTGTTTCTTGCTAACCATGAATTATTGTGGACTTCTGTGGGCCTAGTGAAGGTCTGGGGCTGGAACCGTCCTCTGGAATGCCTGGCATTCCTCAGTGTACCCCCTCGTTTCCTGAATACAGCAGCAGTGGTCTGAGGAGGTGTGCTCTGCCCTGACACCCAATGGGTACACTGTGATTATTATTATTATTATTATTATTATTATTATTATTATTATTTTACTTGATTGTAAAAACTCCTGAATGGGCAGATGACCAAGTTGATGACCAAGTAGTTCAAAAGTTCCCAAAGTTACAAACCTGCTCAAATGTCTTAAAAATAAAATCATGGCACTGTAGTAGAAGCAAAAAGATTTAATGCTCAAACAGCAAGACCAAGCGTTTCTGCAGGGGGCTCATGAGGTAGTTTCAAGAGTGGACAGCAGAGCGAGCGAGTCATCTCCTTCCCGCTGAGCCCCACAGACTGGGAAGAGTGGAAAGACTCGAAACGAAGAGAAGTGTGTGATGCCTCAGTGACGTCCTTCCATAACAGACATGAGTTCTAGGAGGTGGGGGCGTTGGGGTCACAGGGCTGGGGAACGACAGGCAGCATCCCCTCATCCTCCAGCCTCGGGTCCCTTATTCCTCAGAATTGAGACTCTCTCTGCCCAACACAAAGCAGAGCCAGCTGTTTGTCCTGCTCCATACCCACCTTTAGTGCCAACAGAGAAACATGAAGGCCACCTTCTGTCTGGCACCTTTCCACGTCGGTCCTCCCGGAAAACCCACCCTGCATGCCAGTCTTCATCAGCATTCTGAATCCCCATCCTCCCTGTCTGTCACACTAAGGCCACCTTTATCTGGATCGACTATTACAGGCGTGCTAGGCACGTGGCGTTGACTCCAGTCATTCACTGTATCATCCAGACAGGAGTGAAACCCAGACTTTTTGGGTGGAGTTAGGGTTCTAAGCAAGGTGAAAAGGGAAAAATAGTCTCTACCCCGCCCTTCCTCCACAGCCTGCCTTGTAGGAACCAGGAAACTCGGACTGACTGTGTTTCCTTGAAAACGTTATAGTCATCAGAACACTGAGTGGAGAGTTCAGGGGACATAAGAGCCAATTCTTCCGTGCTGTCCGCTGCCACCACGCTTTGGGGCTCTGAGAAGGCTGGCCTGACCGACCTCGAGTTCCGTCACTGATTGAAGGATGAATATGTACATTCTTTGGCCGTCTGGTTTTGACTACCAAGATGAATTTTGTTTTTTGTGTTGCCGTCAAGCACTGGATTTTCTTTCTTTTTCTAAATCATGTCACTGAATTAAAACCCCTCTGGCAGTTGCTTAGCACAGGAATGGAGACACCTGTATCCACTTTGAAACATACCTCACCTTAGAGCTAGCTGCAGGACTGTGGGAGGTCCCGACAGGACAATGAAGTGATGTTGTTAGGTGTCTTGGGTAGCCTGATTGAAGACTTGAGTATTTTAGACCTTTAGTTCCACCAAATTAATCCTGGAATTAAAGTCATTTTGAGTAAGTACTGTCTAGTGCTTACTCAGGGGCCCTTTGTGCTAAGCCATTCTCCTAACCTACTCTAGGGGATGGAGACGATGGCTTTGAAGTTCCTGTTACTGACTCAGGGTTGTCAGTGTTCCCACAAGGCAGCATTGATGTCTTCAGTGGGAGTGCGTTCCTGTTGATTCCGTGGTTTACTGCTTTTTATCATGTCCTTATGTCTCATGTTTTTAATGATCATTTGTTTTATTCTTTGAGAATTTCATACATGCGTACAATGAAATGTGATCATACTCCATTCCCCTTCCATATCCCACTCAAAACCCCCTCCTCCTGACCTCATGCTTCTGTGTGGGATGGTGTGGGTTTTAGGTTGTTGTTTTGGTAACTCACTAAGTCTAGGAGTGCCACCCATGTGTGCATGTGTATGAAAACATCCACTGGAGGATCATGGGAGTGACCCTCCTGTCCCCCCAACCCTCCCCAACTGTCAGGCGCTCCTCAGTGGGGTAGGGCCTGGAGATCACCTTCCCACATCAAATTCTCTTTTTTTAAAAAACTTTCTAGCTGGGTTGGTAGCATATACCTTTAATCCTAGCTCTGGGAGAGAAAGAGAAGGCAGAGCTCTGACTTGGTGAGATCCTGTCTCAAAAAATAAAATAAAATAAAATCCAAGAAATTCCTGCCCTGTTCCACGCATACCGTGTTTATTTCTCCAGAAACCGAAACACTACCATGTGCCACCATGGATCACCTCTGCACTAAACACCATGGGCATCATCATTTACTGAACACCTTATTGCTTCCTGCTGAGCCTTGCTTACAGCCTCAGAGCCACTCACAGCAGCATCTGGAGCATCATTCATGACTTGTTGGAATTGGCGTGCAGTGTTTATTATCCCAGCTCTGAGCTCACAGTTGTTCCCTAAAGATGATTCTAGACCTTGAGTTCCCTGATGGGCAAGTACAGGACCATGCCAATAGTCGTCTTATGGGTCCCCAAGGCTGACAGGGGCATGCCATGGCAGGCAAAGGGCCACTTGCCTTTATTCTCTCCCTCTGGACTGCAGTCCAGTTGACTAAGCACCAGATGCATCTCTACCCACACGGAACTGTACCAGATGAGCACACTCTTCCCTGTCTGTGAACTGAAGGTTCAGGTGTGCAGTCTGTTCCGTATTTCCTCCCAAAATGCTGAGAATGATGTGAATTTTTTTGTCAAGACTTCTCTTCAGCTGTCAGTATGGATTCAGTGCCTTTCCAGGCAGCAAGGTTTTCCTTTGCTGATGCCATAGAACAAATGTCCCAATGTGCTCACCTCCCTTAGACTGGCTCACTGGATGCGTCTGTTTGCCTGTCTGCATGGCTTAACTGGCATTGCAAATGCCTGTCCAAACAAGAATTAACTGAACTAGGCTGCTGAGTGGAGGACCCAGTGGAACCCAGAACATTTCTCAGGGACAGGAGGCTGAAGAGGATAGCTCTCAGAAACAGAGAAAGAGCTTGGTTAGGCTTTGGTAAATGCCACATGCACGGCAAGGGCGTGACAGCAAGATTTCAGGTGCCACATCCTCAGCAGATGGCAAGGCCACTGTCAGGAGGCTTCCAGCACAATCACAGCCCTGCTTCCCAGGGCCTCTGCACAGCACTGGAGGTCACTGGTGTCTGGCCAATGACCACGGTCCTCCCATGGCTACAAGCTGGAGGGCCCAGCCACATGTACAAGCTATTAGGAAAAGGTATCTTGACCACACTACCCCCGTGGCTCTCCACCTCTAGAGTTACACATCTCTGAGGATGGGGAAACCTTTTCAGTCTTTTTTTTAATGTTTGTATGTCTGCCCCCATCCCACCCTCTCTTTCTGTGATTATTTATTACAGTAATTTGAGTTCTATTGATTTAGAGCAAATGAATTTCTTTCTGGTACCTATGTCTCAAAATGAACTCCCTTGTCTCCTTGAAGCTCCCGGGTCCCCAGCTCTGTGTCATTTTCAGATACTGGCTCTGGCTTTGTACCAAACAGCAATGGGAACAAGAACGATGATGAAAACAAACCAATGCATGAAATTAAACCAAGTATACCTTATGTCTTCTGGTCCTGTCTCTCCCTACAGTGCCGCTTGCGTCCTACCAGCTGCCCCGCCAGGGTTTTCGGGGAAGGGCGAGCCGACTTCTGCAGCCAGGACTCTTACATTTCAGAGGCAACAACTAAAGTTGCAGTTTCCACTTTGTCTTGAGTTTTCCCATAAGAGCTTAGGCAGGCACTCGGCTTCTTCCCGAGCCATCTGCTGCCGTTCCTGCAGCTGTCCCGTTACCATGACATCACCCTTAAAGACGCCAGGAGAGGCAAATGAGGAGCTGGCATCGTTTGGTCAGAGGCCTGCTGGGGGTGGAAAGCTAAACCAGTCTTTCGGATTGTATTTTTCAGCCAATTCTGGTCCCTTTGGAAAGGGCAGTTTTGGGTCAGCAATGTGTACAGACAAGCTCTTATGTTCTGTCTTCACAGTAGAATGTTTATGTCCATGGATTTGGGAAATCCCTTCACCCGTGAGCTCATCCCTGATAAGGCACACTTGTGCAAAATCCCACTGGGGACACACGTCTGGGGAGCCTGAGAGTGAAAAAGGACATACATGCAAAAGGGGGAGAAAACCCGTCTTCTCTCCCTCCCTCTCTATTCCAAAATGCTCTGGAACCACTGGCTTCAAGCATAGTGTCCTCCTCATACCCCCTCATTAGAAAGGCCTCTTTCATACATTTTTTTTTTTTTTAATGAAAGCCTTAAAAAAAACCACGACATGGAAATCCACTCTTAATGTGGAGCCTGAGTATGCACATCAGGCCCAGATTGAAGCCTTGGCAAGACTCCTGGCTGAGCCCAGGCTTGAGACAAACACACCAGCCCAGCCTGTGATGCCTTAGAACAGCAGTTCTGGTGAGTCCTCGTCATGAGTTGTTCCTATTAGGCCCAAGCCCACAGAGCTATTAGCTCGGGTGCCGAGGTCCACAGTCCAGTGCCACAGCTGGAAAACGCAACGACAGCTCCAAGTGACTACAAAATAGCCCAGCAATCACACCACTTTTTCCTCTCGGAATTAAAAAGTACAAATTCCTCAGCTATTCTTAGCAAAGGCAAAATAAAAAAAAAACACGCACAGGGTGTACTGGCCGGCAGCCTCCTGTACTGATGCCACTCCCCCAGCAGGAGGCAGTAGAAGGGATTCCCAGGCAGAAAAGGACAGATGGCCATTTGACTCAGATGAAACACGGCGGGGCCTTCGGACGGGGGAGAATTTCCTCAGAACACATTCAGAACATGCAAAGCTGTCTCCATTCATATTTAATCATGTCTGGATCAGCTTAACTATCAAGACATACAACCACAAGGAGCTTAGACGTAGACAGGAACATCAGTGTGTGAACGGGGTATGGCAGGAATCATTGCACTCAAGCTGTGGGTGTAAGTCTTAGGCGGTTTGTCACATGTCCCTTGGCTTATGGAGAGGTAGATCATCAGCAAAAAGGTAGAGCAGACACTCTTCAAGAGACTAACAGGGGCTAGAGTTCTGTGTGACACTAACACCCACAGGGATTTAACAGGAATACCTGCTACACAGCCTGTCCAAAAGGCCACCTTCTCCCAAGACGTCTCAGGGACCAGCAAGGGCAAGCCCAGCGGACTGAGTCCCCTGGTCCTGGATAGAACCAAAACAAGATTTTCTAGAAAACAGTCCATTACACAGCACCCTGCTAAATGGGACTGGACCCTCAAACAGAGCGCCCTTCTAATAGGCCTCTGCGCACACTAGAACGCCCTTGAGATCACCTTTTGAGGGCAATTAAAACACAGTAAGGGCATTAAAAGGGCCATCACACAGATCAGCAGCAGCGTCCAGGGCTGTGGTAGACATGGAACCTGTGTCACGAGTCCTTCCTGCCACCCAGGCGACTGGTGTTGCTCCTGTCACTCAGCGCCAGGTGCTTCCGGCTAAATTTCTTGATGAGGGTTCCAGGAACCAAAGCGACCAGGGCAATGGCCAACAGCTTCAAGACGGTTTCCCAGGAGAAGAGAGCATCCAGAGAAGTGAGTGTGGACAGGATGGAGCCTGTCTGCACGCAGATGAAATTGTATGGGATCAAACCTGGAAGAGGAAAGTAGAGACGGTCCATGGATGGACAGGATGGTAGGAAACGGCACTAGAAGATGGCCAGGGATTCAGAGTAGTGGCTCTAGCTCTCTGTCCAACTCTTAACCCCCTAAACAATCTACCTTCTTCCTTTTCTCCCCACACTACCTATACACCCCGCCTTCTCCAACAAAAGGCCTTACGATGGGCCACACAAATATATATATTACAATAAGGAGAATTTACTACTCACACAGAAAAAAATAATAACTCAGAGAGTGAGCTGAGAGAGAAATGCTGGAGACCATGTACCTGCTGAAGGTGGGACCCAAGAGCCAAACCAGAGAAAGGAGACCAGGCACCATGAAATTTCTCAGTGTGCATTAAAGTGTTTCAAAACCCAACAAACAGGGCCGGGCGGTGGTGGCGCACGCCTTTAATCCCAGCACTCGGGAGGCAGAGGCAGGCGGATCTCTGTGAGTTCGAGGCCAGCCTGGTCTCCAAAGCGAGTTCCAGGAAAGGCGCAAAGCTACACAGAGAAACCCTGTCTCGAAAAACCAAAAAAAAAAAAAAAAAAAAAAAAACAAAACCCAACAAACAAAACAAGTTTCTGCAAAGTACAACTCTGTATGTTCTGCACTCTGAGAATTTAGCAAGGCTCTGCACACCAGAGTCTGTCTGCTAGCTGGGCAGCATGTGGCATAAAAATTCCTTAGAGTCAGGCTTGGTGGCACATGTTATCATTTCAGTCATCAGGAGGCTGAGGCAGGAGAATAGCAACAAATTCAAGGCCAGCCTGGACCTTATGCTGAGACTTTGTCTCAAAACTAAACACAACAGCCCTGTAATGTTTAAGGGAAAAACAAAAACACCCAAGTCCGGCATAATGGAGTACGTCTTCAGCGCCAGGAGAGAGAGGCAGATGGATCTCTGTGAGTTCCAAGACTTCCTGGTCTTCATAGTGAGTAGAGAGCCAGCCAGAGCTCCATAGTGAGACCCTGTCTCAAAGAGAAATTACAAGCCAAACGTAGTGGATGCCTATAGTCTAGCACGTGGAAGGCCGAGGCAAAAAACTGAAAGTTTGAGGCCAGCCTCAGCTACATAACACAGCCATATCACAAATAACAAGACAAAATACACTCTTAGGCTCCGCCTCGGAGATCCTAGTTCCTTGCTTCTGCAGTAAAGCTCCAGAGCCCTCCTGTTAGGAGCCTATTCCCTGCCCCTACTCCTGAGTTTCTGATCGGTTAGGGCCCTGATAACCCATTCCTCTACTTCAGTGAAGAAGAACATGGAAGATAATGACCAGACAGTTCAAGGACACAGGCTGGCCCTCAGGAAGGAACTCTGTCTCCAGAGTCCTTCTAGGCTGGAGTCCCTTCGGTAATGACAAGCTTTTAAGCCCCATTAGCAGAGTGCTGAGGTACTCAGCAAGCTGCCTAAGAACCGGCTGTGGTCAGCCTCCTTCCATTTCTCTCAGACATTCCTATTAATAGTTCCAGCTCCACAGCACACTTGTTAACGTGGACACAAACCCCTGACTGTCACCCCCACACACACCCTAAGGAAGGTCTGAGCATCTTTGCCCCTGCTTTAAGGACAGTGGTGGTTTACTGCAGTAACACGGTACCACTCACAGACGGGAAGGATGTGATCGCTTTAACTTGCAGTAAAGGTGGCCGAAAGCCCACACTTAAAAACAAAACAAAACAAAACAAAACAAAACAAAACAAAACAAAAAAAAAAACACTGCTCTTAACCCCAACTCTAATCTGGTTAAGTGATTTCTGGGGAGGGAAATCGTTCTCAGAAGACAGACAGGAACCTCCCTGATGCCAGCCCTTCAGCCTGCTAGCACATCTTGGAGTCAAGTCACGGGGTTTACAGAGATGACCCTGCTCAATCCCAGTGCCCAACACATGCTGGGCACTTAAGAAGTACTAAATATGGGCACGGAATGAGCAATCCTTAGCTGCTCCCAAAGTATTTGTAGGTTCAAGCCAGAGGAGGGTTTGAAGTCAGAGAAGGCTGTTGTGTGGCCGGGTGGCAGGTGGGCGGCAGGCGGCGGGTGACGGAGGGCAGTGCCTCCACCAGCCGCTCCCCCACATCTTACCGATAAGCACTGAGAAGAAAAACTGCACGATGGGGATGTTCAGAATTGGGGCCGAGAGGTTCAAGAACCAGTTCGGCGTCATGGGGAAGAGTCTGAGGAACAGCAGGAAAAAGAACAGGCTGTTTCTGTTCTCCTCCACCTGCAGAGAGAGCCCACCATCAGGAGCAGAATGGCTCTGCAGCACACTGAAGCTGGACAGCTCCACCCAGCTCCTCCCCCCGCCCCTCCCAGCTCCGCCCCAGCTCCTCCCCCGCCCCTCCCCAGCTCCTCCCCCGCCCCTCCCCAGCTCCGCCCCAGCTCCTCCCCAGCTCCTCCCCCCAGCCCCCTCCCCTCCAGGCTGGGAAAGAGTTCCCCCTTTTGCAAACACAACTGCCAGCTGCCCCTGGTGGTTCACATTTATAATCCCTGCACTCAGGAACTCGAGAGGCTGAAACAGGAGGACTTCCATGCCTTTTAGGCTAGCTCGAGTTACACAGTGAGACCTCGTAAAAAAAAAACAAAAACTGGGCCAGGGAGATGCTCAGACGGCAAAGCTCTTGCCCTGTCAGCATAAGGATCTGCATTTGATCACGGAACCCAAGTCAAAAAAAAAAAAAAAAAAAAAAGGCCTGGGGCCGGGGCACAAGCCTGGGATCTCCCAGTGCTGGGAGCAGAGAAAGGAGGATCCATGAGGCTTACTGGCCAACCAGTCTAGCTCAGTGAAAGACTCTCTCTCACATGCGCTCACACATACACAAGCATACACACACACACACACACACACACACACCAACACACATACATGCACAGAATTAACTAAATAAAGAAATAAATGAAAACACAGTAGCTGAGGATCAGAGGGGTCGGAAACTTAACTCAAAGCCACAGAGCAGGTAACAACAAGAACTGGACTGGGATTTGATCACAGGTCTGTGCTTCCTAAAGACCACACATGAACCCTCCCCAGCTCCCAGGCAGGGTGAAGGAGCACTGTGGGAAATCCCCGCTCCCGATGCTCTCAGACCATGAGCTCAGAGACCTGGCGATCGGGTGTGCCCCGCCTTACCTTCCTCTGCAGCAGGGCCACTTTATCAGGAAAGTAGGAGATGACCAGCTGCTTGCCGAAAACACTGGAGAGCAGGTAGCAGCATGTGGCGCCCACAGAGGTCAGCACACAGCACAGCAAAAGTCCCAGCCATGGCCCAAACAAGGCACCAGCCAAAACATTCTGCAAAGAAAGCAAGCCCCCAGCCGTGAGAACACCCAGCCGCTGCGGTGGGCTTGTCCTGGAGCCTGTGTATCGGCTCTCTCGCTTTCAGTGGCTTTCACAGCCAACGCCCAAGGCCCATTTTAAGAGGTGAATGAAAACATGGAACTGTAAGCCTAGCCCGAGGCTCCTCACCCTTACGAGGACAAGGCCTAGCACTCAGTGGGCACTGGCAAGTTAAAAAGGAGACTAGGCGCAGACATTACCTGGCTGCGGCAAGCGCTACAGTTACCCCCACAGTCACTGGGGCACCAAAAGGGGAAATGAAGCTCACAAGCCATTTCACTATTGTGTAGACCATGAATGTACCTTCAGTAATCCAAGTAAGATGCCTTCTTTGTTTTTCATCTGATTAGTAAGCTCACACTGGGCTCCCGTGTTGGCCACAGTCCTAATTGACCTTTAAAGCCTTAGTTTCACAAGAATAGAAAAGTTAATTCATACTTCACAAGTGCAGTTTGGCTGGTGACTATCACCCTGCCTCAAAGCACGGGATCCGGAAGAAAGCATGTGGGAAAAGCCAAGTGTGCTGGCACACACCTGTAATCCCAGCACTTGGGAGGCTGAGGCAGGAGGATGGCTTTGAATTCAAGGCCAAATGTGGTGGTATTGTGTTCCTCAAAATATTGTGCACCCTAATAAACTTATCTGGGGTCAGAGAACAGAACAGCCACTAGACATAGAGGCCAGAAAATGGTGGTACACAGTGGCCTTTAATCCTATCACTTGGGAGGCAGAGATCCATCCGGATCTCTGTGAGTTCAAGGCCACATTGGAATCAGCCAAGCACGGTGACTCACGCCTTTAATCCCAGGAAGTAATGTCAGAAAGCAGAAAGGTATATAAGGCGTGAAAACCAGGAACTAGAAGCTTTTGGCTGGTTAAGCTTTTAGGCTTTTGAGCAGTAGTTCAGTTGAGATTCATTCTGGATGAGGACTGAGAGGCTTCCAGTCTGAGGAAACAGGATCAGCTGAGGAACTGGCAAGGTGAGGTAACTGTGGCTTATTCTGTCTCTCTGATCTTCCAGCAATCACCCCAATACCTGGCTTCAGGTTTGTTCTTATTAATAAGACCAGTTAAGATTCATGCTACAGCCAACCTGGGCTAGCATATGAGTTTCCAGACCAGTCTGTACTACAGAGTGAGACCTCGTCTCAAAACATGAACTGGATAGATGGTGTGGCGGCTAAGAGTGCTTCCTGCTCTTGTGGAGGACCAGTGTTTGGATCCCAGCACCCATGCGGGGTGGCTGACAACTGCCTGTCACTCCGGCTTCAGGGGATCTGGTGCCCTCTTCTGGCCTCCACAGCACCTACACACATGTACACAGACACACACAGACACACACATAAACCTACAAAGCATGAACAAGTGAACAAATGAGTGAGCAAAGGCCAGCAAACAGGACAGAGGGGAACTCGGCCACGAGGAGGCCGTGGCTGTGACACATGCTTGGCCATGAGTCCTGAGTAGTGCTCACCATACCCTGTCTTGTGTTACCCCTACCCCATCCTACCAGGGAGAGAGAGCCAGCCTCACAACCAAGATCACACTAGGCAGGGCTAAAACGCACCCCAATTCTGGGTGTGCAGCCCTTACCAACCTAGGCTATACAGCACCACGTAGCATCTGGCTCTCTGTCCCGAAGCAGGATCAGCTCAAGGGGGAAGTCAGTCCAGGGTCAGCCCAAAGGACTTAGCCCTGGAGCTCCAGCATCCAGCTCCCTCTCTCAGACATGTTTGCTCTTCTTCCTGTTTCCAACCCCCAATCTGCTTGGGTAGGTCTAAGCGGAATCTGGAGTGGGAAAAGGTGCTGGGGGAGGAGAGGGACTCGGGACAACAGGAAGCTTGGAGGGTCACTAAGTGCTGAATGCCCACTCAGGACAGCCTCTCCACACCGTGCTTCATGTCACCCTGCCGCACAGATAAAGGGGTTTCTGGAGCAGGGGCCGCATGTTACAGAACAGGAAACCAGTTGGAAAGAGGACAGGCCACTGACCAGGAAACTGGAGCCAGGGATGGCAAAGCCCTGTTTGTAGAGGTAGGCACTGCAGAAGAGCAGGAACACGTAGGCCTGGTGCTCCTTCCGGTACTCCCGAAGGACTTCCGAGAGCTCCCGCAGCTCGGCTAGGTCTGAGGGGAACCACAGTGACCTGGGGATTCGAAAATCAGATGGAAACATGGATTCCAGAGAAGCCTGGTGCCTAAGAAAGTTACTTGACATGTCTTCTTCCTAGAGTAAGTTTATAAACACACAATCTGGGGATACACACAAAGATGAATTCCAGACGACAGGTGGCCCAGTCGAACACAACAGAGGCAGATCGGAGAGCCCCGACTCGGGAGCAAGAGACCTAGGCCAGCATCCCACTCTGCTATGTCCTGGTTGTGTGACCTTGGAGTGTCCATGGGCCTCGCTTTCCTCCCCTAAAAAGGATCTGGTACTGGGTAACCACTAAATTCCCTCTTGACGTATTCAGGGGGTGTAAGATGGAATCCCACAGCCTCCCCCATGCTGAGCATGGCCTCCATCACTGACCCAGTCTCTTTTTGATCTACTCCAAAAAGGCAAGTATATTCATTACCAGGCAAGTGCTGAACATCCTATATTGCCTTCCTTTCAAGGAGACCCCCTCCCCAGCAAGCCCAGAACTATGTGGACACCGCGTTGCCCTAATGTACTAGGCAAAGCAACAGTTTCAGCATTTAAAATTATATCTATCTCACATCATAAACACAGCTTTCTTGATAATGTGGCAGGCTTGAAGCCAACCCTTTCCTGAGCCTGCCTGTTCACCCTGCTCTAGGCCTGGAGCACTGTGAATCCCGTCCAAGGGTCACAGTACAAAGACTACCCTGCCTCTGCCATCTCGACAGTTCTTTACTCCAGCAGAGATAAACCATGAGCAACCCCTCCTAGATCTCCTGAGTACCTCTGACATCCACAAGAGAGCTTTTTCAGCTCTAGTGAAAGACAATGGTTACTGAAAACAGCTGTCCTGCTACCCGCACGCCAGCTAAGCCTCTTGGTAATGCGGCAACGCGCCAGGCACACTTCATACACTTTGAAAGTAGTATGCCGCAACTGGGAAACCCGCCCAGCAAGTCTACCGCCTCATGACTCGCTCGGCTGTCATGGGGAGCAGAGTCAGACAGGAAGAGGACAGACCGGATCATAGCCTCGTAACCCCAAGTCCGGGCTGCACCTCTCAAGATTGCCTGGTGTGGGAAAGTGGGTTGAGGAAGGAGAGCCACGGAGGCCGAGATGGCTGGGGCTGGAAGACGACCCGGGTGCAGAGAAAAGCGCCAAGGTGCCCCCAGCGCATCACCTCCAAGCCTCTGAGCTCCGCCCCAGCCGCCGCCCCGCGCGCTCGCACTCACCGGCCTTGGGGCTCCTCCGCCGACGCCAGCCTCGGCCCCACGGGCAGCCGCGTGGACAGCAGGTACAGCGCGAAGGTGCAGGCGCCGAATACCAGGAGCAGGCCGAGCAGCGCGCGCATGCCGCGGCCGGGCCGGGGAGCGCGCTCCCCGCGTGGCAACGCCGAGCCCTTCCCCGTGCGCCGGCTGGGCGGGCGGAGCGCGTTCGTCGACGGACGGGGGCGTGGTCTGCGCGGTGCCCCGCCCCCGCCGCGCTGCAGGCCCCGCCCCCTCCAGGGACTGTGAGAGCCTGCTGGTCTGCGCGCTCCTGCCTCCTCCGCCCTGAGCTCCCCCGCCGCTGCCCCCTGTGTCAGAACTGGGAGATCTAGGGGTGAGTGGTGAGCCTGCCACCGCCAGCTTGCAGCATGGTGGTCCAACAGCCTGGTTCATAGTCTGTCCCACTAAGCAAATGTAGCCAACAAATGTGGATCTGGCGCTGACGGTGACCACCACAGAAAGAAACAGACTTGCCCTTCTACTCAGCACCTAAGGGGTGGGTGCTCACTATCACCACTCCCCATAAACACATTTCAGTATGTGCCTTAACGGATGAAAAACTTCGGTGTTATAACTCTTGTCTAGGAGCTAGCACGGACAAACCTGAGACACACATCTGAATCTTACAAAGATTCTGTGATGCTGGACGTGGTGGTCATATGATTGATTCAGCACTTGAGGAGGAGCAGGAGGACCACAAGTGCAGTCATTCTTAAATACTAAGCAAAATCCAGAAAGGGGCAGGGTAGGAGGGTAGAGAGAATGGCGTCTTCCAAAAGAAAACCCAGATTCAGATATCCAAAACTAGTGTGGTCCTCACAGTGTGTGAATTCTGAAAGAGGTGAGGTTTGAGTTTACTCTCTAGGATGAGCAAGCTGTTAGAGGAAAGAGCGAATGAGCTGGCCCCGAGGAAGCCAACCTTCAGGGAAGCCCAAAGCTTGTGAGAAATGAATGGGAATTGACAGCTTGGAGAGTACTAGGCTGGGGAATTGGTGCGTTGATAAATGATAGGTGGTAAGATAAGCCTAGGAGCATTTAATAAGGATGATTCCACCAGCCAGACATGTGGTGCACGTCTGCAATCCCAGCACTTGGGAAGCTGAGGCAGGATGGGGACTTTGAGGACAGCCTGGGATTACAATGAGAACCTGTCTTCAAAAGCAGGAAGGGGGAAGGGGGAAGATTCCATTCTCATTTGAGAAAGTCTACATGTCAGAGAAAGTAGAACATACTCTGAGTTAACTGCAAATGCTGTGGTGGGAAAACAAAAACAAAAACTGTTGTTGGTTCTTTTTACTCCCTGGGGGCTGGCCACCCAGCTCCCAAATAAATACACAGACACTTATTCTAATTTATGAATGCTCAGCCTTAGCTTGGCTCATTTCTAGCCAGCTTTTCTAACTTAAATCATCCCATTTCTCGTTAACTACGCCTTGCCTCTGGGCTTTTTACCTTTCTTTATTCCATATATCTTTCTTTCCTTCTTACTCCGTGGCTGCCTGTGTGGCTGTGTGGCTGTGTGGCTGTGTGGCTGTGTGGCTGTGTGGCTGTGTGGCTGTGTGGCTGTGTGGCTAGCCCCGGTGTCCTCCTGTCCTCCTTTTCTCGCTACTCCCCCTCTTCTTTAGATTTCTCCTCCTATTTAGTCTCTCTGCATGCCAGCCCCGCCTATCCTCTCTCCTGCCTAGCTATTGGCTGTTCAGCTCTTTATTAGACCAATCAGGTGTTTTAGGCAGGCAAAGTAACACAGCTTCACAGGGTTAAACAAATGCAACATGAAAGAATGCAACACATCTTTACATCATTAAACACATATTCCACAGCATAAACAAATATAACACACCTTAAGCTAATATTCCACAACAGCAAAAACAAAAACAAAAAAGAGAAGGACCATAGCAGTGGGAATCGAGCAAGAGGGACAGGCTGCAGAGTGGAGACATGAAGTGACAGCGCATGTGGCTGACAAAGTGGGGGAGGACTTCAAAGGGTCAAAAGACAGAAAGCACTTCAGTGCACTTCTTTGTGTCCACCGGGGAACATGTGTCAAAATTCGAGTGTACAAAATCCTAGCAACTGGACATGCAAGAATTGATCCCTCAAGTATTCTTGGCCTTGTTTTGATATAAGGGACTGTGAGCATCTGGAATTCCCATCATCTCAGGACTGGTAGGTTACTTATGGCACATTCAAAAATGGGTATCAAGACACTCCCTAAAAGAAAGAGGCAGGTCCGAATATCCTGAGCTGGTGCAGTGTGGTGGTTTGAATGAGAAGGGTCCCCAGAGATGCAGTAACTAGGACACGGGTACCACACAGATAGCTAGACTAACAGTCAAACAAGCTGCAGGGGTTAAGAATAACTTGAGTTGTTTATAAGAAGGAAAGGGGGTATACTTTATCTTTTCAAGATCCTGAAGTAAGGCAAGGCGTAGTGGCAATTTGAGAGCCTGAGGCATGTGGTTTACAAATTCAAGGCCAGCCTGGGACAAAACGTAGTGATACCTTGTCTTAGTTACTGTTCTATTGTTGTGAAGAGACACATGGCCTAGGCAACTTATAGAATCATTTAATTGGGGACTTGTTTACATTGTCAGAAGGTCAGTTCATGATCATCACAATGGGAAGCATGGCAGTCGCTGAGAGCTCACGTCTTATCTGTAAGTCAGAGGCAGAGAGAAAGAGACTGGGCCTGGTGTGGGGTTTTAAAACCTCAAAGCCTACCTCCAGTGACACACTTCCTCCAAGGCCACACCTCCTAATCCTTCCTAAACAGTTTCACAACCTGGGGAACAAGCATTCAAATATATGAGCCTGTGGGGGCCATTCTCATTCAAACCACCACAGACCCTGGAGAGAGACAGACAGACACAGACACAGACAGACAGACAGAGAAGAAAAGTTACCAAATATTTGCACTGGGCTGAGAAGCCAGCTTAGCTGGTGGAGTACTCACCTAACATGCACAAAGCCTGGGTTCAGTCCCAGCAGCATAGTTGCACACACCCATCCCCACACTTAGGAAGTTGAGGCAGAACATTCAGTTCAAAGTCACCCTTGGCTACATATTGAGTTCGAGGCCAGCCTAGGTTATATGAGACACTAGGGAGGAAGTAGGAATGGGGGAGAAGGGGGAAATAAATTATGTAATGTCGTGAATTTGTATCAAAACAACAGGACAGGAGTTTAAAAAACTGGGTAATGGGCACATGGAGGTGGATTTTATACTCTTTTCTCTGTCTCTGTATATATTTGAAATTTTCCAATTAAGAAAATGGGGGAATGTCTCTCTGTAGGTAGATTTTTCTATCCCACCAGCTAGTTCTCAAATAATCACACTGAGACTTAATTACAAATGCTTGGCAAATAGCTTAGGCTTGTTACTAACCAGCTCCTACCACTTAAATTAGCTCATATTTCTAATCTACGCTCTCCATATGGCTCATGGCTTGTTGCCTCATTTTCTACTTGTCTTACTTCCTCTACTTCTTGTGTGACTCTGCCCTTATTCCCACCATCCTCCTGGTCTGGCTCTCCCACCCAATCTCTTCCTGCCCAGTGAGAGTAATACATATTTACAGTGTACAAAGGTTGTTCCATAGATCTCTCCCCATTCATCAAAGGTTATCATTATACACCCTGCTACTTCATGCCTCTGACAATGTTCTCATGTGTGTGTGTGTGTCCCAACACAGTCATTCCAGCTTAGAGTGTCAGACTCCATTCCTCTACATACATGTACACACACACACACATACACACACACACACACACACAAACACCAAACACACATACCACACACATATACATACACACACATACACACCACACACACATCACACACATATACATACACATGCACACACACACCACATACACATAAATATACACTACTTCCTTTCTTACCCATTCATTCATCTACCCACCCATTCATCCCAGAGCAGCTACACAGGACCTATATCAGCTCAGAGCTGTGCTCAAAACCCAGGGGTCCCAAGAGTTTGTGACTTGACAGAAATTCCCATTCTTGACATTTGTACAGTTATTTTGGCCCTCTGGAGACAAGGGAAAGAGGGGAAAGTGACTATGCTAATATAGGACCAATAAAAACCTCTGAAATCAAAGCCCCTCGCCACAGCCACTGTCCACAGTGGCTGAAGACATCTGAGAGTGATAGGGAGCTCCTATGAGTAAGTGTGCACTGAGCCTTCCTCCACCCAGAGCTCAGCCATCTCTTCCTTAAACAGAGAAGACCCTTGCTATGTAGGAAGACTAGAGGATGTGAAGTGCTGTGGTGTCTATCCTTGGTTGTCAACTTGACAACATCTGGAATTAACGAAAACCCAAATGGCTGGGCATGTCTGTGAGGGATTTTCTTTCTCAGTTAAATCATTGAAAGTGAAAAGACCCATTTTTAATCTGGCTCTTTGAGGTGAGAAGATCCACCTTTCATCTGGGGCACACCTTCTGCCCAGCCTATAAAGGATGAGGAAGAAGGAAGCTTTCTTTCTTTATATGCTTGCTCTCAATGCCAAGTCCATTCCTTCACTGGCATGACAGTCTTCTTCAGCATCCCATCGTATACAGAAAACCAGCTGAGACATCCAGCCTCATGGACTGAACAACTGCTGAGCTCTAAGATTCTCTGTTGGTAGACAGCCATTGTTGGAATAGCTGGACCACAACCTGTAAGCCATTCTAGTAAATCCCCTTTGTGTATATAATACACACACAGACACACACACACACACACACACACACACACACACACACACACACATACAGAGGGAGAGAGTCCTGTTCCTCTAGAGAACCCTGACTAATAAAAGTAGCATGATGATTAGTTGACAGAAGTTGGAGTCACCCAGGTAATGCAGCTCTGGGCATGTCTTTTATTGAGACGAAGAGACCTGCCCACTGTAGGTGGCACCATTCCTTAGCAGGGGATCTGGACTGTGTAGAGCTGAGAAACTGCTCCAGGGAGATGGCTTAGTTGGCGAATGTGCTTGCCTCTAAGCCTGATGACCAGATTCCTGGGACCCACGCATTGGAAGGAGAGAACTCACTCCCACAAGTTGTCTTCTGCCTTCCACACGTATACGTGTGTGCACACAGAAATACACACACAAAGTAAACTAATAAAATGTAATAATTCCTTAAATGTGTCGAGGAATGGAGCTGAATACTAGCAAGCCTGCATTCATCACCCTGTTTCCTGATTGTGGCTGTGACGACCAGCTGTCTCCAAGCTCTTCTACCTTGACGTCCCGGCCACAGTGGACTGGGCCCTTGGACTGTGAGCTAAAACAACCCCTTCCCCCTTGAAGTTATTTTTGTCAGGGTATTTTATCATAGCAACAGGAAAGGACACTAAAACCATGTAGATTTGGACCCATTGGCTCATGGTGTCCATTTCTTTACAGCAGCCGGGGCGGTTTGATGAAGAGATGTATCCTGGGCCTGTGACACCTTCCCGGAGTGGTCACGGCCGTGGGGTGGGGAGTAGCCATCTTCACACCAGGCATCTGGACCCTCTGTCTGACTGTCATTTTACCTTCTCTGTCCCTGGCCCTCTGGGACCTCTTGACTTGGCTGCAGCTGTCATTCAGAAATACTCAGAGGTTGCTTCAGCCTCCAGGGAGGCCTCGGAAGACTTCCTGAAGGTTTCATGCACCAAGAACTGGGCTACGCTTCGCATTCGCATTAGCCCCATGAGTTAGAGCGTCGTGTCAAAAGGTTAGCGTCGGTGGGATTGTGCACAGTTTATTTTTATTTTCCATCTCAGCACCTTAAAGAATTTCCTAGCATAATTATGGATTAATGAGTAGGCAGGAAAAAAAAACATTCTTAAGGGTTGCTTTAAATAATGTTGTCTGGGGCTGAGAAGGCGGCTCACAGCACCTAACACGCTCGATCCCAGAACAGAAAATCTATCCTGTAACCGACACTTTGGCAACTTCAGTGAAAGCAAGCCCGATTCTCTCCAGACTCTCTCTCTGCCCAGTCCATGAGTGATGCTGCTCCTGTTTCTCCTCCTTCTTCCTTCCACTTAGTCCCTGGTCTCAGCACAGACCTCAGGGCCTTGAGCCCATCCCACTGTCTCTGGCCATCAGCATCACTTCAGAAAAGGCTGGAAGCCGGAGCCTCCTTGGCACTCCGGAGTCAGCAGGGAAGTTGGTGCTGAGAAGGACAGGTTGCGCATCTACACATGAGAGCTAAGCCATATCGAAATAGAAGCACATTCACATTATGGACTCAAGGGATTTCACAAAGCCTTCCCAGACTGGCCTTCCCAACCCACACTTCCCATGAGGTAGTCCGACTTGTTCTCCTCTTCATGCCAGGGTGGTGGAGGATCGGGTGGGTGCACAGAAACCCAGCGAAGCCTCCGTCCTTCACTCCCAACATGGCTGACCCCTGGCCCTGAGGGTGTGATGTGACAGGCAGCAGAGCTGACAGTTAGGGACACGCGAGGCCCCAGGACGTGGCTGACGAAGCGCGCTCTGCTGCCGGGAGCCCAGTTATTTCTGTCTTGCCCTAGTTAGGGGCTCTCCTCCTGGTGCTGTTTCATAATCACAGGTCGTTTGACATTTTGTGATGTGACATCCGTGGGATACTGCCGAAAATAACCTTGGGCTTTTTTTTTTTTCCCGTGCTTTTAGAGCCTTCAGGGTGAAGTAGAGTGAGGCACGAAAGGCCTGTAGCTGTAGAGATCCTGGTGTCACCGTTGTCCTTGCGTCCTGACAGGAGCTACTTTGAGCACAGAATAGGTCGGAAGAACGTCTCAACATTTTCCATGAGGACAAGATCATAGCGACACAAGTGAGGCC